ATAATTGATAAAACACATTTGAAATGATGAACACTAAGAACTTTTTTATTATTCGAATGATATATCAATGATATGTAAATTCATTTAAATCGCGTTTTACATTGTCTTATTGATGTCTACACAAGTAAAATTATTTAAATTAATGGTCATTTTCGAACACGATATCTTGACTTTTATTGAGAATCAAATGGGTGTAGAGAAATTTACATATACCAAGGAATCCACTTCTTCAGTTAATCAATCATTCAAATATATGACCCCTTATTCCACCTTTGATATTTTTATATGTCTGTATTTGCTCTGCTCTTGGTTTGTATTGTTGAAATAAACTTTTGAGTATAATAACTGGTCGTATTCTTCATTTTCATCGACGACCTTTTCTCCCATTATTAATACTTAGTATTTTCCACTTTTATACCCATTTAAATATTAAACAGATGTGGCAATTGTATAATATATTTTATTTTTATTTCAAATTATCGAAGATATATCGAGTCGACTTTTTAATGGAAATTACTAATATAATCGTTGACGTATCTAAATGTAATGATTTCTTCTTCTCGTGTGAAAGTTTTTGTGTAAGTTCATCATGAAAATACGAATACACGACATATAAAGGAGCACAATAAGTGCCCACTGGAATTCCAAAAGTGTTTGTGGAACCTTATCTCTGAAGACTACATAAATGCAGTCAATAAGGAAATCTGGTATGATTTTGATATTATTTTCTAAGAAACATTGATTCTTTAAAAGATATGTTGTTAATGTCCAATCTCAAGATATGACAATATTCTTACTTTCATTTTTATTGAAAAAGCAGCTGTTAGTACATGTAATACCAAAAAGGTTACTTTCCAATCTAACGAGGAATGATAGTATAAAATGTGGAAAAGTCGTACGTTCTGATATTACATGTATTAATTGTTGGAAAATTATTTGACTTTTATGAAATTTTTAAGAAGTACTAGTACTTCGGAGATTGGGAGAATCCCACATCTGATTTACACTACTTCTGGAACATATTGCAGCACAGTTAGTTCGCTATTATTTTTTTTAAATATTTTGAGCATTTCCTTGAAGAGGCAATGCATCTTTATTTGCAAGGAACAAGAAAAAATTTCATGTGCACAAAATAATTTTTGTGTTTTGCACAAAATAATTCTTGATCTAATTTCGATGCATAAAAACAAAAGCAAAACAAGTGTTCCTGTAATATAACTTAAAGCTCTAGTTAATTAAACCTAAAGATGAAATTACTTTTCCAGAATACGATAACATTGTCAATGAAGGTTTAGAATATTAGCCGCAGGTGCACAGAAAATTCAGAGAGATCCATTTCAAAGACGGAAGAAGTTAATGATGTAGAAATGTAGAATGTATATCGTATTTAACCCACTTCTGGAATAGAGACTGACATTGCTCAGCTAAACTCCTAGATTTAAAAGACATCTTTTAAGATGAAAAATTATGTCTCTCTTCTAGAAATGAGATAATACAATTTTTTTCTTTCACTCATTTCTTTAATCTTTGAATGAGATGAAACCTTTTTTTTATTTTATTTTGGCGATCTCATTTTTTAGTGTGTTTATTTTTCATATGTACCTGTGAACCATAAAACTGTTCTATCTTCGTCTTTTCTCATCTTGACTGACTTTTTATTGAGAAATATGTCATAGAAATATTTTTTTTTTAAATAGTAAACTGATTTTTTTTTAAAGTGTCATCTTTCTGTTTACAGCGTCTTCCTTAATTTATGTGGAAATATTCCGCTATCACCTGCATGGTAAATATGTCTTTCAATTTATTCGCTCTTCGATCAAGACCACACTCTGAATATGATCAATTTTTAAACCGATACAAACTACTTACACTGAAGTTGAGGTTACAGGGAATACAACAACCTTGTTCATATTATACTTACTATATGTTCATGTTCATATTATAACCTTTCACAAATTGTAGTATTTGGCAGACTTCATTCGTATCAATTCTTTGACCTATCTCTTTATGACTAAACTTCACTAGCGAATGTTCCATCTGCTTGATCGGTACACAGAAATCACAACGGCACGGCGGATAAGACCGGTGAACTCAATAGTTATAACTCAACCAGGCACCTGAGCCAATTTCCGGATTTTTCAGGGTCACCTGTTTATGCCCTGTTAAAGATGTGAATCACTTGGAGTTTTTATGACACATATTACTGCTCTTTATACATTATATTTACCATTTTCCATTCAAATGGATTTTTACCTTAATTGGTCAATTTCTAAAGCCAAACAAAAGCAGATCAGGTCAGTTTTCTAGATTATAAGGTATGATAGGCCAGGTATTGATGAACTTCTGCAAGATTTCGTGTCTAATAAAAAAAATTTCAGAAGAATTGGGGAGGGGGTACATGTATACTCCATGCGTTAGGTACCTGACATGTGATAGAACATATACCCTTGTGTATCCTATAAACTGAACCTCATATGCACGTGATATGGCTTAAATAGTTTACTGCTGCATAAATTAAGAAACCTGACGATAGAAAAAATTAAAAGCATCACGTTTCTCAAAAAAGTGAAACTGTAAAATGTTGTTTATCGATTTCTTTCTCTATAAAATTATGAAACTTAAAGAGCAAACAAATTAAATGTGTCAGACTTTTTTCCTCCATGCAGTTCAATAGTGTGCAAGGGAATCATCATAGCAACGTACGTAAACTAAAAATGTAAAAACTTGATATAAAACGTCGTGATTAAACGTCTCGAGCTCATTTCCAACAATTTTTGGAATACTTTGTATTCGTGTCCATATGTATAATCAATAGTCATATAGTAAGAATAAGATTACTGAATGGCTATCCTACGTAGAAAAACACAAATACTCTATAGACACACCCAAATCCTGGTATAATTGAGGTCATATATTGCTCTCTTAACCTGTATTATATAATCAGTAGAAGCATATTTTGTTTGATCAAAAAATATACACATGAGTACCTTTTGTAGAAAACAATTAAAGGAACTAAAAATAAACGGAAAAGTTACTAAGTAACATTGCTTGATCTTGCATGAAATTATTCTAGATCTATACATTGTATTGAACAATTACAGTAATGTGGTTTGAATATTCAAATTAGCATCTTCAAACAATGTACATATACTTCTAAAACCATTTATATCATTGTTGACAAACCAGAATGAAATGACAATAAAGGATTTATTTATATATATACGTTTGTTTTAATTAAAAATTTTATATGAAAACAAAATTGTGTGATTCATTTAATTTATACTGTGGGTTTAATTATTCAAAATTTTATGTGAAAACAAAATTGTGTGACATCCTCTTTTTAAGGGCACGGTAAGAAAATTTCCTTAATATTAATCTCTTGAAGAGTTATGTGATAAGTTTTGTAAGCACACTGGCGTATTTTACAGAGATGTTGCAACGTTTTCGAAAGTGTAGGGATGTTGTCGGGTTTATAAAATTAACCTTACCTGAAAGTAAAACATAACAAACAAACAAATTTAAAAGAAGAAAAAATGTCCGAACTGACCGAAAAATCTAAATCTGAGGTAGGATGTGGACAATTTCTTTCAGTACCTCATGTTATTCATACAATACTATATTACCCTTCTATGAATATACTGCAATAAAAAAAAAAGTACAGGGAAAAACCGTTTTTATTAATGTTTCAATACTATTTTGAAAAGGTGCGGAAGGCAGACCCCCTGCATAGCCCGCCCCCAGCCTCACCCAATACTTACGCTAGCTACGTGCATGCCTGCTTTTAATCTATATATAATTTCTTTTTTATTGACCAAAGAAAGATAACCCACATGCACTTTAAAAAAATACGTATTGGTGATTTAAGAAACATTTGAGTTTTATTTGCTTTTTCATACGCGGATTTAGCCGGTTAAAATTCAATCTTTAAAATGTAGTTACAGAGGCAGCTATATAGCTAGAGTACCATATGGGGGTACACGGGCATTTGTTTCGGAAATATTTTTTTAGCTCATAGTATAATAATAATTTTAACAGCATATCATCATACTATATGGATTTAAAAAAAAAAATCCGAAAGTTCAAACGAGTGTCTGGTGGAAGGGAGGGGGGGCTGTCCTCCCCTCTCCTCAATTTTTCCACTTGATTATGCTCACTCTCATATTGACATATATTATAATATATTATGTTTATAGTTATTGTTATATGTAAAATGATGTTTCGTAGGATGCAAAGAAATAAAGAAGTTGAACTAAAAAAAAAAGGAATCATTATTTTATGCTATATTGAAAATATCCATAAATGCCGTTGGATCATACACACAAATCGTGACCAGACGTGACCATACGAGGCACTTGAGGGATTTTAGCTTTGTTAGAAGTTCTGCAGCAACCTGTAAATTACTGACGGTATGCATATATAAAAGTGTAGAAATTATTTAATATAAATAAATAATGATCAATTCGCTGGAATTTTCGCTAAATTTTGTTTTCAAATCACTTTAATAGCTCTCTCCGACAGAGTACCTCTTTTGACAGTACCCCTTTGGAGCCTTTGACCTACATGCTAATTAAAGGGACGTAAAAGAAAGAAGAAAAAAACTTGATATGTAGGCATATCAGTTTGCATTCTTAATATCCTTTAAATAATCTTTTAACTCATCCAAAAAAAAAGGAGATATTATTAATTTCTTATCCCTCGATGTATATTACTGTTAGAGTATGATGTCATCATCGTAGCATCGTTTGTTTACATCCGACAGCTGATCGAGGAACCACGTGGTAAAATGGTCATGTGACCAGTATCCATACATAGTTGACCTTTAACCCCTACGTTGATAAATAGAAAACATGTGTCTAGCAGGCAATCGTGGATATTTTTTCAACTCCAATGTTAAATTTTTGTGGAAATTCTTTGAAATATTACATTTTCTTTTAATTTAGATGATGCTTTTCGAAAGATTTTTTCTACAAGGGCGGAGTTAAATATCACGTGATTGATCGTCATGCATTAGGATAACATATCCGCCATTATTATTGTTGTTTTTCAGAAGTCGAATACGTAAACAGAATACACTGAGGAAAATCAGATAAAAATGTCGTCCCCCAGCCCAGGAAAGCGGAGGATGGATACAGATGTCGTAAAACTGTATCCTTTTGGCGATTAATATTATGACGGGCGATCATATCCTCCCATATTTAGTATAATTTTAGGGTACTAACATCTGGGATCTGCGCGATTCGTCCGATTGGTTTCAGCCTGTTTTGGTGTGTCAGGGCTTTGTTTACAAAGTATATCACTTCGAAATATATTGTTCATATTATGCAGAAAGGAAATTATCAATGTTTTCCATGGGGTTTTCATGTTTTTACCTTTTGGATCAATTCTATGCTTTGTTTGGGTCGTCTGTTTATTATTATTTTCTACATGTCAAATGATGACCTCAATATTGTCGAGCGGAAACGTTTTGCTGCGCAGTCTAAAAATAAGATTGATGAAAACACAAAATTACAATGGAGCAGAATCAATGATAGCTCTGTTGCTTGTTTTCATGTTGATAAAAGCTTGGAGCTTTTGTTTTTTGCATGTTAAAAATTTAACTATAGATTGATATGTATTCAATATGCATCAAGATTCTTAAATTGCTTTCTCATAGAATTTGTTTTAACTAAGGCAGTGGTGTTGTCATAAAGTCAGAAAACATGGAATTTTTTTCAAGTGAGAATATGCCCACAAGCACAAATTCAGTATAAAAGTATTTGCCATGCATTCTTCATCTTCCCTAGCCAACCCGAAGATGATCGGCTCGTCTTCTCTTTTCACGTGAAAAGAGGAAAGGATGGTCACCCTTGGTTAGCGAAGATGTGCATTCTTGGGAAAGGAGGAAATGTATGGTTGGACTGGGAATCCAACCCGGAACCCCTGAATATCCAGTCAGGTGCTCTACCAACTGAGCAGTCTAGGCTTATATCCACGGCCCAAACCATATCATTCCTCCATCCTTTAATTGTCTGCCCATGAAGGCACAAACAATTGTATTATTTGATCCTGCAGGCATGTCCTTAACATGCAAGTCTAGGGGGCGGTCCTTCTAAGCAGAATTTGATCAGTGACCCAAAGTCTGTAACAGGAAAGGAGAAAACCTAGCTGTAGTGGGATTGGAGTCTAGGACCCCCTCTAAAACTAGATAGATCTCTACGAACAAAGTCACCCAATATTCAATGGGGCCAAAACCATTTCACTTAATATTCATGTAGGGGTGAATTCAGGGAGGGGCTTTTTTGCATCCGCCCTCCCACACACACACAGAAGAAAAAAAATATTTTACATAAAGTTTTCACTGTTGTACATCAGTTGTATAGTTAAAACAAGATATGTTTGTGAAACACTATGCGCCCGGCGGCAACAAAGTTAAAAAACATATTTTTAGCATATAGGTCATAGTCAAGGTTACAAGGTAATTAATATTGGTGTTATTTGAAAGAACTTAATTAGTGGAGTATGCATACCAAATATGAAGTTTCATTGTTCAAAAGTTATGGTGAATGTTCAAGAAAGCTATTTTCAGCATATAGGACACAGTCAAGGTCACAAGGTCATTGACCTTGGTGTCATTTGAAAGAGCTTACTTAGTGGAGTATGCATACCACAAATGAAGTCTCTATCTGTTATGGTTCAAAAGTTAAAGCGAAGGTTAAAGTTTGCAGAAAAATATTTTTAGCATATAGGTCACAGTCAAGGTCACAAGGTCATTGACCTTGGTGTCATTTGAAAGAGCTTACTTAGTGGGGTATGCATACCAAATATAAAGTCTCAACTATACATGGTTCAAAAGTTGTAGCGAAGGTTAAAGTTTGCAGACAAACAGATAAACAGACAAACAGACAGACAGACAGGACAAAAACAATATACGCCTCGGATCTTTCGATCAGGGCGCATAATTACAGTTATTGAAGTATGTGTCAAAAAAAAGTTAATACAAAGGCTCAGTATTCTCAGAGAATACAGCTGGATTTGTTTCTGTGCCCCCACTCTTCATTGTCTTTGACCTGCATTGAACTTTGAAAGTACGCAGACCCCTTCCTCCTAAATATAGTAGGACCCCCTCTAACACAAAATTGTAGACCAACATGACTGACCCTCCTTTCATGGATGAGATAAATACTGCACATCAGTCTCAGTAAGGAGCTATAATCATGATATTTAAGTAGTTAAGTCAATTAAGTGATACATTGCAAAATATATGCTTTGAATGGACACTCAGCATCTTTATGGTAAAGCGAGTTTAATTTTTCAAGAAATCTTTAACTTTTGTTTTGTCATCTGTTTAATATTGTGAAATAATTCTTGTCGCAATTCATGTAAAATGTTGCATCTGAAAATTATGAGTCATTGATGGATTCTGAACTGAAGAATTGCAAAAAAAGATTTCAATAATATTAAATTTTTAGTATTTGATACTCCAATAAATAGCAATTCATTTAAAATGTTGCTTTATTCCTGAAAATTATGAAGCTATGCTATAATTGTTTTATTTTACTTAGGGAATAACTATCTTCTAATTTGGTATTTGCGACCGTTAATGCTGATTTAACGGTCGCAATTGTGGCGACGCGTAAGCGGAGCCGGTATCATTCCCATTCTAATGCAATCCATGCAATTTGTTTGTTGTTTACGTCTTATTTTGATGAATTTTGTTACATGAAATACGTCATTGTGTTTTTGCGTCGCTCTATTATGACGTCACAATGATTTCAATAATGCTCGTTTTACTGCTTCAAACATTAGTGCATTAGCCAATCAAAATGTATTTTACAAAACAATTGCATTAGAATTATAAAATACATTTCTTTTGGAAAATCATTAAGGTTCAAGCAACATTTTATATGAGTGAGCAGAGGGTTATGAACCTTAACAATTTCATCTTGCATAAAATTTAATAGCTGGTAAAGTACCTAATACAATAAGAGGTGTTTATGAGATTGCCAGTGAAGATAGCATTTACATAAGACAAAACCCTTCTTTTTTAAGTTGCAAGTGAAAGACTGAACACACGTTTAGTCATTAACAAATTTTATTGTGCATTGTGGTTAATTCTAAAAATTCAGGCTTAGGGCTAGCAATTTTTTTTAATGAGTTACATATACTGGTAATAAAAGAACTATTAAATCTACTGTTATACTTGAGATTCAAGATGTATATATATTAAAATCCCCCCCCCCCCCCAAGATATTTCATTGATAATTTTTATTTGGTCCTGTAATTGCTTTTGTTAAAACAGCACCATCAATCTCTTTCATTTTTAATTCTGTGAAATATTTAGTTTACTGTTAATAAATTCTACATTTAAACTGTATTTCATTTTCTGATGCAATTGCAACTTGTATCACAATACTATGTGGCCTCACTGTGATGAATGCTTAAAACATATATTTTATTAAGATGTTCAGTAATGACAGAAAGGGAATAAAAGCATTCATTATAATATTTGTACTTTTAAAAAATTGTGACATAAAGATGATAAATGAATTATAAATCTTGTAGCATTCTAAAAAAATGAAACCAATTTGTAGAAGACTGCTATTATTATTGTAGATGATTTTCTTTAATGGCACATTTGAATGCAAAATATGATCATTCAAGCCTGTAAAATGTCTATCTGCACCTCATTCTCATGTCAGTAAAAAATCCACCTATAAAAGGAAACCAATGTCACTTAGGTAAATGTCAGTTAATTTGTCTTCACATGTTTTAATGTTACCCCCTTCTAAAAACCAATAATGCTTGTATTTTTCCATCCGTGAGTGTCAGCTATTGGCCTACTAAGGCTATACAATGCATGTGTATTTGATTGTATGAACATTTTTAACAGGGGGAGGGTTTAATGAAGGAAGAAACAGTGAAAATTCATACAAGGAAGTCTGGTACAATCATCATTATAGGATTTGAATATGATTTCATTTCATACTTCATTTCATACCAATTTGAATAACCTAGACAATACCATTAAAAATACTGCACTAAAAGTTAGAGAGAGGCAATTGTGTTTTGGGTATTATTAATAAAAAAAAGCTTAATTAGTTAAAATCATACATAGGCCCTATGTCAGAAATATATGTTACTAGGCTGAAATTGTTACATTTCTCAGCAATATACTTCCAAACTAAGCATTACTCTCTTAAAATTAGAAACTGGTTGAAAAATGTTAAAGTTTATGCTTGTTGAAATCAACAATTTCTAGCATAAATAAGTTACTTATGATTCATTGTTTACAATTCCTTAACATGTCCCAGGATAGAAAGCAAACATGAAGTCACGATTCTGGGTGGACTGAACGAGTTCATCGTTAAATTTCATGGACCACAGGGAAGTATGTACCGGTCTACAGCATCAAATATTAAGTTTAATTTTTTTTTTTTTTATTAAAATTGCTTAAAATAATGATGATAATGTCTAAAATATTTCATTAAAATGATTAATACAGACAATACTTGTTAGAATTCTCTTTGAATGAGGATACATTGTAAATTCAAATAAACTTTCCATGTCATTCAGTTTTCTGTCCAGATGTCATTCTCAGAGTTTTGTATACCTTAACATGTTTAATATAAACATGTTTAATATCTTTCATTGTTTTAGCTCCATATGAAGGCGGAGTTTGGAAAGTTAGAGTGGATTTGCCAGAGAAATACCCATTCAAGTCACCTTCTATAGGTATGTACCTACAATATGTTCACAGTTCTTTCTTTACTCTACCTAATGCATACATTAAAGTCATTGTTCTGCATTGAGTATACATCAGTATATATGTATAAGTCCCATTATCACTGAAAGATCACTAGTCAGGCATTGTGATCCCCTCTTAATTTTTACTCAATTACTACTACAGGTTTTCGTCCTTTGTAAACTGTCTAGAATATCAGGATCATCAGGGAATTTGAACCAAATTTGCTCAGTTTTTTTTTTTTTTTTTTTTTGGCTGACATTTCTTTGAGATCAAGTTGTTTTTAGCTAGTATTTTATATTATATTTATACAGTATGTGTATGAATTTTATTTAGAAATATTTCCCTCTGTCTGCATTATGTATTGCATTTTAAAGAATTCAAATTCCACTACATGGAATAAAGGAAGTCATCAATTTTACATGTAAAGTACTAATACTAAATTAGAGAATTTTGAAAAAATCAATTATTATGTGTACAAATTTTTATTCAGTTTTTACAATATTAGGTTCAAACAAGGGTGTACAGGGATGTACCCCGGGTTTTATTCCACATACCCTGAGGCCAAAGGTCGAATGGAATAAAACCTGGGGTAATCCCTGTACACCCTTGACTGGACCTGGATAATGAATTTATTTCTTATGTACCCCCCAAAAATCTTTGTGAGCATAAATTCAACCAACTGCATTTCAACCTACTGATTAAATTTACTATGTACTACAATGCACCTTGATCATGCGTCTTGATGTCATGTTATTTCCTTTTCATCATAGGAAAACTATGCATTGTGCAATATACAATGCACCCCTGGCTCAAGTCAGGTTTACAGAAATTTACAGCCAGCTTCCTAATCAATCAAATCTCATGTTACAAGTTATATAGGAATTAAAGACATATTTTGTTTTTGAAATTACTACATCTATTTTACAAAATGTAACTTTGTCCTGCAGTCTGTGCTGTTATAATGATTATAATTTTTAATTTTCTGACAGGTTTCATGAATAGGATATACCACCCCAACATAGATGAAGTGTGAGTATTTAAATATTTGGATAAAAATTTTATTGTATCAGTAATTTCTCATTAAAAAATTGCCATGGTAGCTCAGTTGGTAGAGCACCTGTCTCATGACCTGTAGCTTAGGGCAGCGACTGACCAAAGTCGAAATAAAGTAAGAGAATATCTGTCCTGTGCCATGTATTTGGTGTTTTGGAGTGAAGGTTTCAGGTCTTTTGAATGAGACATTAAATGATTAAAAAATGGTTTACATGATTGTACTTGCAACTATGAAACAAAAGATTTTTATGAATGATTACTGTATACAGGGTTATTTTCGCCCTTTCACACTCACAACCAATTTTGCCCCGTTTTAAATTCGCCCAGTCACAGTTTTGGTTAAGAAAATATATTGTATATTTTGAATTCGCCCTTTTTAAATTCGCCCAAAGGATGTAAGGGCAAAAGGGGCGAAAATAAAACGGGGGCGAATATTTCCCTGTATACAGTATCTTAAGCATGACTTTCTTTGCCGATGATTTATACACACTAAGTATACTATTCAGACATAATAAATGGAGAAAAAAGCACCTTTATTTTCTTCTCAGGTAAAATTCTACTGAAAAATGTTATAATTTCAGATCCGGTACAGTTTGTTTAGATGTGATCAATCAAGCATGGACAGCTATTTATGGTATGCTAGCATCTTCTTATGATTATAAATTGACCAGAGTCAATTGAAAATTACATTCAGACTATTGTTTTTTGTAATGTAATATATGCATTACATATACAGTTATATAATATTAATTTTTGTACAGTTTTAATGATAATCTGGGACGTCATTCATGTCAATGATGTAATGAATTTCATTACATTAACCGTTTCATGTCTTGCAGATATGGCTGAAAGTTTTCCATTAGAAATTGTTTTTGTTGGGAAAGTAGCTTAAGATTATATACATGTAGTTACAATGATTAATAGATTTAAGGGAAAATATTGACATTAATTTGTTTGTCAGCAACTCCACATTGTTGAAATTATTGTTGAAATATTGCATGATTTCAGAATTTAGATGCTGGCATTTCAAGTATTGATAGATTATATGATGGTTTTATCCCTGTAAAAGAAATATGAACATAATTTTCTGGTATTTCCAGATCTGGCCAACATCTTTGAAGCTTTTCTGCCCCAGCTCCTGACATATCCCAATCCCATCGACCCCCTGAACGGGGACGCTGCCGCAATGTACCTCCACAAGCCAGAGGACTACAAAAAGAAAGTCTTAGGTCTGTAAAGTATTAAATCGGTCTTAGAATTATATACATATTGTAAGATGAGAAATCCACTCTACGAGTATCTACCAGAAAGTTTTAGGTTAAAAAATAATTACAATTCTCAGTTAACCTTGGTAAGCATGGCATTCTCAACACTACATAATTAGCTTCTGAAATTTACACAGCTTTCTTTCACTGTTGAAATATGGGATAGAAATTTGGCTGAATGTCAACAAGTGTAGCAAATAGCCAATAACAAAGCCTCATACTGCAAAGAGGGTGTAAGTCATCTCACCGTTGTCAACAACAATTTAAAGTTCCTGTTGATATTATTATCATAACCAATGAGAATCTATGCCCCATTTGACAGAAGCTAATTATGTAGCCCTGAGAATGCCAAGCTTTACTGAAAGTCCAAGGTTAACTGAGAATTGTTCTCAAGAGTCAGAGATTTTTTTTAACAGAAAAAGTCTGATTTCATTCCTATATAAACAAAAGGTGTTTTAAATTAAAAGTATTTTTCAGAATCAAATTAAATATCTTGGCTTTTCAGAATATATATAATTAAATTTCCAAGAACATATAAGGGATTAAAATTTTAGAAAAAAAACTCAAATAGTCTGATACATACAGTTATCTAATTTTTTACAAAGTATTTGTACAATTTGTGTGATTTTAATGCTCCCCTTCATAGAAGGGAGGGCATATTGCTTTGATGCTCTCTTTGGGTCTGTCTGTCTGGTCCATCATCGGTTTCCATTCATTCTCTTCACAACCGTTGCACATATTGAAATGAAATTTGGTATACAGATTTATCATAAGAATATATAGGTCAAGTTCTGTTTTGGGAACAATTGAACCATTTTGGATTGAGTTATTTCCCTTGGACTTAGAAAAATTCCAATAATTTGCAGTTTCTGTTCTTTGCAGAGGTTGCTTATATTGAAATGAAATTCGGTATACAGTTTATCATAAGAATATATAGGTCAATTTCTGTTTTGGGTTTCAATCAAGCCATTTTGGATAGTGTTATGCCACTTGTTTTTTTTTTTAAAGGAAATGTGTACAATTATCTGTGCTTTTTTTACAGAGTATGTGAAGAAGTACGCGACAGAAGAGGCACTGCGTGAACATGAAGATCAGCAGTCGTCCTCCAGTGAGTCCAGTATGAGTGATTTCTCTGAGGACGAAGCCCAGGACATGGAACTATAACCCCGGGCCATCATTACAGTGTATATATACCTCACTCCACCTCCACAGCACTGCTCAGCCTGACCTCTGATTGGATAGTTACTCTATAGATTCTACAGTCTGATTGGCTAGATACTACACTGAACATCAATTCTACATTCTGATTGGTTAGCTACTATAATACGTGAGTTCAACATTCTGATTGGCTAGTTACGACAGCACTTCCATCAAATCTACATTCTAATTGGTTATTTACAACACAAAAATTCTACATTCTGATTGGCTAGTTACTACAATACTTCTCATCTGTTCTACATTCTGATTGATTAGTTACAACAAAACTCTTAATAAATTCTACAGTCTTATTGGATTGTTTCTACAACATTGCTAATCAATTTCACATTCAGATTGGATAATTACAAGCTAATTTTTATTCTGATTGCCTATCTACAGGAATGGACTGAAAAACTTTCTTTCTTCTGATTGGTTAATTTCTTGGATTATTATGTAATATAGAAAGTTTGTCTATAAAAATCAGTATTCAGTTTTAGTGAGAAGTAAATTTTAGCTATTTTTTTGGTTAACAGATGGACACCAGTAACCTCTAAAGGGATTAAATTGTCACTGATATTTTAATATTAGTTAGTCAACATTCTAGCTGATAATGCAATTTTTTTTTTTTACATTTACATATTTCATGTTCTGTATATTTCAAATTTCTCCAGGAATACATGGTATAGCTAAAAACTGTGACCTGAGCAATGCTGTGGTTTTGGAATAATTCATTTTTGGGGGGTCATTTTTTAGTGAGAAAAATAATCATGTTTTTTCTTTCAATTTCACTTTTACATAATTATACAATTATGAATGAAGATTAGATGGCCTTCTCTATGAAGAGGTTTTGTTTGCATTCATTTGTTGTTTCTTTATTTCCCCTGCATAACTGACAAAATGTTTGGAAAAATCCTGTTCGCATTGAGTATAAAGTTGGCGTGAATGAAGTAGAAGTGATAGAGTTCTTAACTGATGTATGTGAGCGTTTTATGTAAATAAATTTATTTTGCTTCTCTGTGGATTTGTTCTGACTGTAATATTTTCAATTCTATGGACAATTTTTGCTCTTTGTTTGAGAAAGCGTATTTGAGTAAATGACATATAGATTTTTTTTTGTGAAAGTTCTTCCTTTGGATACAGTGGACTTCTTTTTTCTCTCTCTTGTTTAAATTCGTTATTTCTGTAATTATTTACCTTCCCAATATGAGTGAGATTTTAAGTGAATGTATGGATTCTTTATTATGTTTCTGTTGTGTGACCCCCTATTTACCATTGTTTACACATCAATCAATGTGAGAGGATGACTTGTGTATGTGATAAGTACAGAGTGCTGTCTTGTTCCCTTGAGATGTTGCTTTTTGCTGAAGTTGTTTTAATTGTGAGATATATCTTGATTTTATTATTTTATGTGTGGTTTCAATGTAAGCTCCTGTGGTTCTCATAGCATTTATTAATAAAACAACAAAATTATGTACTAAAGAAAAAGTAGACAAAAATGTCATTGAAGAGAATTTTATTTCTGTTTTTGAAATGAACTCGGCATATTTTGGTTTTTGAGAAGCAGGTAGCTTGATATTGTGACCATTTACTTGTTGAATTTTATAGTGATATATAAAGGACAAGCTTAATAAGCTTACTGTGGCCGGCTTTTGTGTAGAAAAAACTTATCAAAGATTGTTACTAATCACACTATAGAAATGTTAATGGTGAAAGGTACATGTATATTATTGTTTAAGAAATTTTGAAAATTGAATATTTTGTTTCTGTTTGCTCTGTTAAGATTTATTCTTTCCTTTTTCATTTGTTTGTGGTTTCATTAAGAAAGAGCCTATTATGTAAGCATCCAAAGACCTGAGCACAAATTAATTTCTGACAAAGAACTAAAACAATAAATAGTTGAAGCAATGACATTATTTTTAAAACCTTGCCTATTCTACCTTGGATTCCTAGATATACCTAAGCCTGTCCTTTCTGAGATAAAAGTGATTGTTTAGAGAGATCATATATATCACACATGTATATGTATTTATTATTTACAGATATGAAATAAAGTAGAGGAATATTAAATATGGGTATATTATTCTTTATAAGTGCAAAAGTTATCTACTTGCTCATCTGTGTGAATGAAATCATATATACCATGGAGTAGGATGGGGCTATGTAGTAACCGCTAATAATAAAACTCTGCTTATGCCTTAGTCACATTTCTAAGCCAGTGGCCGTAGACCTGTGGTAAACAGTGGTGATCCTTGGTGTGAGCGATGCCCCAACATCGGTCCCCATTGGCCTAGTAGTCCTTAAAGTATCGGTCACTTTATCTAGCGATGGGGTATACGATTGTCAATCATTGCGTTTTTTCATAAATCCGCGTGGTTGCTGGCCAGACTTATAAAGGCCTAGCGATGCATTGCTAAAGTATCAGTCACATTATCCAGCAGTGGGGTATGCGATGAGAAACCAATGCGTTTTTTGATGAAAATGGCGTGGTTGCCAGCCGGGCACCACTAGTGATCAGACGGTGACTGAGTCCATTTTTCGAATTGGTGGGGTCATCGGTAGGAAATAATTGGTAGTTAAAATTCAACGATGTCTCCAACGATGCCTCACATCGCTCCTTATCGGCAACCCATCATTAAAACATCTTTCAAGGATCAGCTGATGTATGGCGGAGCATCGTCCAATATCCGTTAAATCTGAGGTCATCGTAGGGTTGAATGGTGTTCAACAGATAACTGCCGATTATCGGTCAATGTTCGACCAAACATTGGCCCGTAGTTGACCGATGTATGAAAGATGTTCACCAATATATGAGCGATGTAATATACATCGGCCGATTATCCTGGAACATTGTTTTATGATTAGCAATGCATCGCTGGACCTTTGAATGTCCGGCCGGCACCCAAGACATTTATATCATAAAACACATTGGTTGTCCATCGTATACCCATCGCTGGATAATGTGACTTGATACTTTAAGGAGTACCAGGCCGATGTGGACCGATGTTTGGGCATCACTCACACCACGGATTAACATCTTTTACTTCCGGTCTACGGCTACCGGCCGTGAAATGTGACCTAGGCGTAATAATAAAACAATGTTCCAAGGTAATCAGGGTAACTCAACCCTCCAATGACCTCATATTCAATGGACACTTGACGATGCTTGGCCAATCCTTGAAAGATATGTTAATGATGGGTTGCTGATAAAGAGCGATGTGGGACATCGGTAGAGGCATAACTAATTTTTAACGACAATTAACTTATATTTTACCGATGACCCCCACCGACTCGCCAAAGGCCTTAGTCCCCGTCCTATTACTATAGGTGTCCGGTCGGCTACCACTCCATTTTTATAAAAAAAAATGCATCGGTTTATCACCGTATACCCCATCGCTGGATAAAGTTACTGAATTGATGACGGATTTTTCCGTTATTCCCCGATCATGACAAGGAGCACACGATGGGTGTGACCGGATGTCAGGGGATGCTCACTCCTCCATGGCACCTGATCCCACCTCCAATGTGTTTAAGGTACATGTTTGCTCTGCTCCTATTTTGTATTGTTTTATGGACTTTTGATCTTGAATACTGTTTGTTACATCCATATGTTTCATATCTAAGATCGTGTTATGACCTTTCTTGCGAATATTCTCTATCGCAGGGATAAATTTAGGCATTTCATACTGAAAATGTTTTATACTATTTGCTAGACAAATGATTTATTCTGCACTACACGTACAATTTCATTCTGAATGTACGGACTATAAAGTTTAGCTAATCACTACTTATGCCTAGGTCACATTTCCCGGCCGGTAGCCGTAGACCGGTGGTAATCGTTGGTAATCCGTGGTGTTAGCGATGCCCCAACATCGGTCCACATTGGCCTGGTAGTCCTTAAAGTATCAGTCACATTATCCAGCGATTGGTATACGATGGGCAACCAATGCTTTTTATGATAAAAATGGCGTTGTTGCCGGCCGGACTTACAAAGGCCCAGCGATGCATTGCTAATCAAAAAACGATGTTCCAGGATAATCGGCCGATGTACCGTATATCAGGTTTTTTCCGCGTCATGTTTTTTTCCGCGAATCAGAACCTAAATCAGTGTATTAGATTTACGCGAATCAAATTTTCACTATTTCAAAGTCCCAGTGATTTTATTATTAACAATTGTTTAAGCCTATAAAGGAATTGGATGTAAAATGTAATGTCATTTTAAAAGCTTCGTACGGGTGATAAATAGATCTATCGACCTTCACCTCGTCAATTCCGGAAGACCCGCTCGGCTGATTACACACCTGTGTTGCGTACTAACTCTCAAATCCACTGTGCACAGATATTATTTTTTAAGATTTAAACAATTATAATTCATTTACTGTTCCAAACTGACTAGCAGCTCAGGTATAATTAGTTTTAATAGCTTCTCGCAAGAAACGTGACCCATATATATAATTAGCTAGCTTGTCAATTAGTAAACAAACAAAATGGGCTTGTACCTATTACCGGTATCTTGCGCTTTTCCCCCTGATCCCGCTATTCTACCCTCTACGATATAAGCATCAAGAAATAATCCTACTACAAGAAGAAAACTTTGTATTAAATTTACGCTGTTTTATTTTCCGCGATTCAGAACTCGTTGCGAACAAAGCGGAAATTGGATACACGCGAAAAAATCCTGATATACAGTATATTACATTGCTCATACATGGGTGAACATCGTTCATACATCGGTCGACTACGGGCCAATGTTTGGTCGAAAATCGACCGGTGATCGGCAGTTATCTGTTGAACACCACTCCACCCCCCGATGACCTCTGATTCAAAGTATATCGGACGATTCTCCGCCATACATCTGCCGATCCTTGAAAGATGTGTTAATGATGGGTTACCGATGAGGAGCGATGTGAGGCAGCGTTGGAATCATCGCTGAATTTTAACTACGAATTATTTCCTACCTATGATCCACCGATTCGCAAAATGGCCACAGTCACCGTCCGATCACTAGTGGTGCCCGGACGGCAAACATGCCTTTTTCATCAAAAAAACGCCACGGTTTCTCATCGTTTAACCCATCGCTGGATAATGTGACTGACACTTTAGGTCTGCAGCGGGCGGTACCGGTCAGCGGTAGAGGCTTAAGTATCAGTAACATTATCCAGCGATGGGGTATACGATGAGAAACCGATGCGTTCTTTGATAAAAATGGCGTGGTTGCCGGCCGGACACCAATAGTAATATAACGGTGACTGAGGACATTGGGCGAATCGGTGGGGGTTATCGGTATAAAATATGTTGTAGTTAAAAATCAGCGATGTCTCCACCGATGCCCTACATTGCTCCTCATCGGCAACACATATTTCAAGGATTGGCCGATGTAGGGCCGAGTATCGTAAAGTGTCCGTTGAATCTGAGGTCAAGGGGGGGGGGGTGAGTGGTGGGCCGATAATCGGTCGATTTTTGACCAAACTTTGGCCCATAGTCGACCGACGTACGAACGATGTTCACCAATGTATAAGCGATGTAATATACATCGACCAATTACACTGGAACATCGTTTTATGATTAGCAATGCATCGCTGGGTCTTTGTAAGTCCGATAAAGTATCAGTCACATTATCCAGCGATGGGGTATACGATGAGAAACCGATGCGTTTTTTGATGAAAATGGCATGGTTGCCGGTCGGGCACCACTAGTGATTGGACGGTGACTGAGGCCATTTTGCGAATCGGTGGGGTCATCGGTAAGAAATAATTCGTAGTTAAAATTCAGCGATGTCTCCAACGCTGCCTCACATCGCTCCTCATCGGTAACCCATCACTAACACATCTTTCAAGGATCGGCCGATGTATGGCGGAGCATCGTCCAATATCCGTTGAATCAGAGGTCATCGGGGGGTTGAGTGGTGTTCAACAGATAACTGCCGATCACCGGTCGATTTTCGACCAAACATCGGCCCGTAGTCGACAGATGTACGAACGATGTTCACCAATGTATGAGCGATGTAATATACATCGGCCGATTATCCTGGAACATCGCTTTTTGATTAGCAATGCATCGCTGGGCCCTTGTAAGTCCGGCCGGCAACCACGCCATTTTTATTAAAAATCGCATTGGTTGCACATCATATATCCCATCGCTGGATAATGTGACTGATACTTTAAGGACTACTAGGCCGATGTGGACCGATGTTGGGGCATCGCCAACACTACGGATTACCACCGATTACCACCGGTCTACGGCTATCGACCGGGAAATGTGACCTAGGCATAAGCAACCACTCCCTCTTTTTTTTTTTTTTTTTTTTTTTTTAAACCATTGGTTGCCCATCGTATACCTCATCGCTGGATAATGTGACTGATATACTTTTAGGACTTCGAGGCCGATGTGGACCAATATTGGGGCATTGCTCAACCACAGAATATCACCGATTACTACCGGCCGGGAAATGTGACTAAGGGGACGACCATTTGATTCTGAGAGGGGGGGGGGGCTGGCAGATTTTGGAAATAAATGATCTGTCCATGAAAATGTTAATAATAATAAATCTGTCCTCCACTACAGAGAAAATAAATAATCTGACCTTGACTTCTGATAATGAAATATTGTAAAAATACCTTTTTTATTACCCTACGTGTAATTTAATCTCAAAAGTCTTCAATTCAAAAAATTTTCATGTCGAAAATTCTAATTGATAAAGGGTTTTCTTCATTAAGTTGGTGGTAAGAATCGGAAGAATCTTGCATAAGACAGTTAGATAAAGTGACTTAAGATGTCCTTGTCATCTTTATATATTTTACTAGATCAAGGGGGCTTGCTGTAAACCTATAGGGTTTAGCACAAATATATTGTTTGAACATTTTAAACTTAGACACTATTAATATCATAATCATTTTTAGTTTTTAGCAGTGAAAATAAAATGATATAAAGGTTTATTAAATCAGAATGTATTAATAGTATTAGAATAGTATTAGTGACGCAGATTCGTTGACTTTATAATTGGAAATTGGACTTTAATTTTGTAAACAATTATTATCTTGTCGAAACAAATTGGATTTTGTTGTTGTTCAAATGCACCATAATTTGGTAGATCATTTTGTAATGAAATTGATCCGAATAGACCAATCAAGCCCATCGATAGTATGTAATAAAATTTGAACGGAAATACAATGGTATTATTAAGAGTTTTGACTAAGCGCAATAAAATTGGGAACTTTGAAGTAAATAAGTAAAAGAGCTTAAGGCCCATAAATATTAGCAATGAGTGTTTACCTGTATTCGGGGGTGGTGCCATGTTGGGGTTCATAGGTCAACGGACAGACCTACGGACAAAGCGTAGGTGGTTAGTGATGGTGAATTAGTCATTGAAATGCATTTTTATATCCGGGACCATGGATACCCACCGAACACAAAATACCCTGTTTTGGTCAGAAAAGAGTATTCCCGCTCTCATTCCTATTCCTGTTCTTATTCCCGCTTTTATTCCCGCTCTCATTTCTATTCCCGTTTTCATTCCCGGTTTTATTCTCAAATTATTACACCTCTTTGGCATTTTATTATTTTGGTAATCATTATTTCGGACTTTTGATAAATTTTGCTATTTAGAGTTCAGTCTTAAAACTCTTTACATTCCGGGACGGATATAGTGAACATTATTGTACATTGGTCTATACGAATCACTTTTCAAATTAGAAAACTATACGATCACGGAAAATTGTAAATTGGATTAATTTAATAAACTTTTGAAATCGACAAAGAGTTGTCATTGGCTTACATTGCTCCCGGTGTGTAAAATTTTAAAAAAATCATATACAATGTGTTGTTTTATTATAAGTGTATATGATTTTTTAAAAATAATTATTACACGTCGGGAGCAAGCCCCAATCTGGCAAATCTTAGCACTCACTTGAAATCACTTCTCCCCCATATCTATTCTCTCTCTCTCTCTCTCTCTCTCTCTCTCTCTCTCTCTCTCTCTCTCTCTCTCTCTCTCTCTCTCTCTCTCTCAACATGTTCGGTTAGATCTACCAATGTTTATGTTTATATGAAACGCTTCATCTCAGAAAATGTACACAAAATAATTTTTTTCCTTGTTTATTTTCATATACTGAGTACTCAGATTCTAGGGACGTACACACTGCACTCAGTGTCATTGTCCCAGACATTAACAGCCGATTGCTACGTATGTGTAATGTGCATGATTACATAACTTGTTATTCCCATTAAAAAATAATGTAAGACGAATAAAAATCTAAAACAATACAGTGGATTTACTTTCTAATGTTTATAAAACATTGTAAATGCAGGCGTATTTCTTTCCGATCTATTTTATTTCCTTTATCAGTGTTTTTTTATGCTAAACGCGATAGCTATTTGACTGAGGAAATTACGATTATAATCTCAAAATAGGGAACAGACCTTTCCACAAGCTCCAATTTCGATCAAAGTATCGTGCACGTCGCCGATGTTATTCATTTTTGATACTTTAAGACACGAAACACCGTAATCAGTCATTCTATTACGTATATTTTCTCAACAGTTGATAGTCTCGTTCAACCAGACGCTCGGCTGTCTCCGTGAACTCCGACCAGCAGAGAGTCTGGTAAAGAATCACGTAAGCGTTTGTAACCGTCAGAGGGCGCTCTCTTGTTTTCATTTTAAAAATCCTTTTTGTAAGCAAACGTTATATACGTTTCTTCTGCTTGATTGTTACTTTATATTAATAAACTGGTCTTTAATTAGGGATACCAAACGAGAAATTACAATATCAATCGAAAGAATGTGTATTACGCAGGTAAGGCTACACTACTTTCACTTTTGCTTTCGTGCAGAATATTTGCAAGACATTATAAAACACACTTACCTATAACTGGTGGGCATTGCCTTAAACAATTCCTCTCTAACGCTTTTAACTTTTAGACATATAACTTTTACATCTTTAAGTTATTTTTCTGTTGATTTATCATGTATTTGTTTAAATCTTGTAGGTGTGTTCTCTTCAGCCAATCAAAAACTTTACCAGAATTTCGGTAAGCCTCGCTTTGGCGTTACAATCGATATCACGTATCTTTACCAGACCCTCTGGGTGGTCGGAGATTTACGGAGACAGCCGAGGGTCTGGTTGAACGAGACTAAACAGTTGATACCTTGAGATATTGAAAGTGATCTCTAATCGCAGAGGTAAAAAGAGTCTTGAACGTTAACGGTGCATACGCCACCTATATTCAGGGGCGGGTAATTTGAAGTTTTATTTGCCATTTTTTAGAGTGGGCACTGGCGTGAAATAGAGTGGAGCGGAATAATTAAATAAAATCTGTATCATTCTACAAAGCTGTCAGTATAATATACCTGCAAAATTGTAGCTCTCTGGTTGAGAAAATTCGGACAGATAAAGCAGAGAACTACAGATCCATGCGTTGTAAAATCCTTTGATTTACGCCGACGATTTTTTGTTGCAAACTTTCGGTGTTTTTTCTTGTAATTTATACCTTCCCCAGTTTTAAAAATGGTATTTAATAATCAATCATACATTTAACTTCAATTTACGATAATTTACTTACCTTTTAAGGCTAACAAATGGCTGTTTGTGGTTACGGACGTTGAAATGGGACTGTTTTAAACCGACATTACAAAAATATATACAGGATTGTTTCGGACCGTTAAAAGGTAAATAAAGTATAGCCTTATTAAAAAGTTAAATGTATGATTAATTATAGGGTACCATTCTAAAAGCCAGACAAAGCTTAATTAATTTACACAAAATAAATACCTAAGTAGAGACAAAAAATCCTCGGCGCAAATCAAAGGTTTCTTCACAACGCATGGATCTGTAGCTCTCTGCTTTATCTGTCCGAATTTTCTCAACCAGAGAGATACAGTTCTGCAGCTAAGTATAATATATATCTTCATCAATGCATACTGTGAAATGATCCAGGAAATTGAGATATTCAATATCACAGATATATAACTGCTCCTCTTGACTAACCAAGGTTTCAAATGCTCGATTTAGTTTATTTAGCAGGTAACCACTCTCATTCTGGAAACTATCAAACTTGTAGCCAAATAAATGTCAAGATTTGACAAAGATAATGTTATTCTACGATGGCTTTTTCTTTCATATTTCAAAGACAAATAATTTCAATGTTTGTGGTCGCCCGCGTGGCGCAGTGCCTAAAGCGTCTGCTCTAGAGGCGCGAAGTGAGGAGTTGATCCTTACGTCACGGGTTCGAATCCCACCGTGGGACGTGGAGACCGGTCCTTCGGATGAGACCGTATAAACCGAGGTCCCATGTCGCAGTAGGTGCTGACACGATAAAGAACCCCCGCTGCTCAATGGCCCTGAGTGCCGAGTATTGGACAAAATTTGTAGCTATCCACTTGAAAGTGATGGCATATCCATATGAGTGAAAAATTCTCGAGAGGGGAAATTGGAGATATCTTATTTAAAGTATACTTTAATTTTAGATGAAATATGAAAGGAGATTTTGTAATGATTGAGATTTTTTCACCTTCTTGTTGTTCTGTAGGCATTCCGCTCGCCTTGTTCACCCTTCTTCTTAAATGTTGCCATTTATAGAAATTGGATAGATTTGTTTACTTACTCCACTCAGTAAATTCACTCCACTCCGTAAATTACTCAAACCAGCTAGAGTCTACCAGGAACAAGCCGATGAAATGGCGGACAAGGCAGAAGAAATGAAATGTTCCTCTGAACTTCAGTACTTTCGAGAGGATTCTGGAGTTACAGATGTAATTCTCACGGTGGAAGACAAAGAGATCCATGTGACAAAAGTAATTCTCATGCGTTCTTCTCCTGTTTTCCGGGCCATGTTTACTGATGATTTCAAAGAGAAAAGCGAAAGCAGAGTTACCTTTCCAGGAAAATCCTATGAAGATTTTGTACTGTTTCTACGAAGTTTTTATCCTGGGGAACTTTTGGAGCTTAACGGTTTGGATATATGATATTATTTTCATGTTGTGTTAAATGATTCAGGTCACCTGAATCACTGGAATATCTATTCATTTTTTTCGTCGTAATTCATCCTTAGACTTGTGCACCGATTTAAAAATTGGGTCATCTTTCAAAAATCTTCTTCTTGTTGACTTTGAAAAAGCATTTGATTCTGTCTCTTGGGCGTTTATTCAAAAATCACTTAAATTCTTTAATTTTGGAAAGTCTATGAGGAAATGGGTTAGTTTATTTCATTCAAACATTACATCAGCAGTAAATCAGGGAGGAAATTTATCAGAAACATTCTCTTTGCATCGAGGATGTCGCCAGGGAGACCCACTATCCCCATACTTATTCTTGATATGTGCTGAAATCCTTGCTATTAAGATAAGAAATAACAAAGACATCAAAGGTATATATTTCATTGATGAAGAAAATAAAATCTCAATGCTCGCTGATGACACTTCTCTTATTTTAGATGGCAGTGAGAAAGCTTTACAATCAAGTTTAGGTACCCTTAGAGATTTTGCAAAAATGTCCGGCTTACATATAAATTATGATAAAACACAAGTAATATGGATAGGTAGCAAAAAAGGTAGTGATGAGGTTTTATGTAAAAATCAACCTCTTGAGTGGGGAAAGAAAATCTTTAGGTTACTTGGTATTGAATTTGATATAGATTTGCAAAAGATACTTTCGAGGAATCTCAGTTCAAAGTAAGAAAACATAAAGAAAATGATAAGACATTGGAAACGTAGGAATCTCACACCACTAGGACGATTAACGGTTTTGAAAACACTTTTATTGTCAACATTGAATCATATTATTGCATCCCTTCCAAATCCCACTGATTAATATATAAAAGATTTAGAAAACACCTTTTATTCTTTTGTAATGGGAAGTAATGCTTTTAGACTAAAAAAGGAGTTTGTATTAAAGATATTAAAGATGGCGGTTTAAAGATGATTAGTATTAAAGAGTTTATTATGTCTCTGAAACTTGTATGGATGAAAAATGTCATACTGCAAGGTAAATATTCATATTTAACTTTAGATTTTAAAAAAAATAGTTTTTTGTGGAGAAGAATACATTCTCAAGAAAATAAAAGATGTAAAAAATATGTTTTAGAAAAATGTTTTAGAAACCTGGCTATTTTTTTTTCTAAAAAATTACCAGAACCTGAAGAAAGTGCCTCTATGGAACCACTATTTTTTAATAAAAAAATTCTGATTGGCAAGAAAACAATTTTTTATAAGAAATGGTTTGAAAATAATGTATTTTTCATAAATGATCTCTTAAGAGAAGACGGTTCCTTTATGGATTTTGATATGTTTAAATTGAAATATGGAATCTATACAAACTTTCTTGAGTACAATGGACTTACAGCTGCTATCAGAGAATGGATGAAAACCAAAAATATAATTTCTATGCCAACTGTGTATATGACATATATTACACAAAAAATATTCCGTTTATTAAATGCGAAGAAATCAAGAAATTTATATGAAATTTTGAAAAGCAATGACATTAAGCCATTAGGTCAACTGGAATAGAATTTTCAACTTGAATGATAGTGAATGGGAAAAAGTTTTTTCATTTTCTTTTAAGCTCACAAAAGATACAAAACTTCAGTGGTTTCAGTTCCGCATTAATCATAAAATATCAGCAACAAATTCCTTTTTACATAAAATTAAGAAAATAGGTACATATGAGTGTTCTTTTTGTGAAACTGAGACAGAAACTATTGAACACATCTTCTGGGAATGTGAAGTAATACAAAACTTATTGAATAGTTTTGATAGTTATTGCTTTAGAAAGATTCATATTAATGTTGTATATTCGAAGAAAGAATTCATATTGGGATCTTTTGCAAAATTAGACAAAATTAAATATCTCATTGCTCTTCAGATTAAATATTTTATCTATAGAATGAGATGTAGTGGTAAATACCTCTCCTTGAATGGACTGATATCCTCCATCAAATGTATATGCATGAAACAAACAAGTACATTGCATATAAGAACAATAATCAGGTGACATTTGACGAAGCCTGGAAACCCTGGAAGAATCTGTTTTTGTAATTTTTTCTTACTATCCCTTCTCTCTCTCTCCTCTCTCTCTTGCTCTACTTCTCTCTCTCTCTCTCTCTCTCTCTCTCTCTCTCTCTCTCTCTTATAAAAAATTTACAGAAAATGTATATTTGCATTGTATAATTATGTATTAGAATCTGTAAATAAAAAAAAATCTTTCAAAAATCTTGTCAAGGAAGAGCTATTATCAATTTGCAGTGTTTGTGGTGTATGGGTAAAAAGGACAACATATTTTAAAAGTCTGGGTTTTTATTTCAAATCTAGGAATGGGATGAAATCTATGAAATGCCCTCTTTAAAAAATACTTTACTTGTTGACATCAAGCAGACAAGTCACCATAGATCCAAGAATTTGCCTAGGTTAATTGAAAAAAAAACCTCCTATAAAAGTTTGATTAATATTTATTGATTATTTGTATGTTTTCTTAACGACCCTTTCTGGAATTTTTCATTCATATGGAGACGCCGCCACTTCCCGATGGAAACCTACGATTTTTGCCCTATAATCGGCACTTTGGGCCTTTGAAAAGGGATGGATCTTATTTGTGCCCACACCTATTACGACACGGAACCTTGGTTTTTCTTTCTCATCTGAAGGACCGGTCTCCACGTCCCACTTTACAATCTTATAAGAAGAGGCATTATAAAATATATACGAAACATAATACTAGTATCACTTAAGTTGAATGATTTTGATTCATTATAAGCGCATTTCCTCGTCACCAGAAAGACTTAAAACAATTCAAAATAATAAACTAAAAGTGATGTAGGTTTTAACTTGTTTTAAATCTGACATTTTTGTTGTAGTTTCTGTAATAGAGAGAATCTTACCTCTGGCAAGAGAGTATGGAATGGACGCTTTGATGAAAAGTTTCCATGAGAGGCTTTTGGTAGATGCAGAATCTCAAACAAAAGACGTTTTCTTCCATTTAAAATGTTTTTATATCGCTGCAGTTTACAATTTTGATGAGCTTTACAATAGAATGCTGGAGAATCTGAGGTCCGTTGCTGTTAACACCTATAAGAACCGAGAAAGCTTCAAAATGCTTCTGCCAGAGGACAAGGCCCAGTTATACGAAAAACGCTGTGAATTTGTTGAAAAACATAATTCGAATCTCCTGAACAAAATGTCAAGAATTAAAGAGAACTTGGACTCATTTGAAATCTGGTGTGAAAAATGTGGCAAATGCATGTACATTTCCAGAAAAGACAAAATATGGATTTGGGGATGAAAGATGAGCATTTTGAAATCTACGAGTACTAATGCTTTCGTATTATTTCCTTTTTAACCTAATATAAGTAAAATATTGTGTTTTTATCCGCATTTCTAGCAAACAAACTTGAAGATACGTATCAAGGTCACGTGATGGCACGAGGACCTGTGTAAATGTATCTCCAAGATAAATGAACACACACTTATCCTACCTTCCTTCTAACTTCTTCGCATGCCCATACTGTGCTTTGGGTTCTTTCTGATTTCTTTTATGTATTCCCAATTCTTTTCGCCCACTTTATTAACATAGAAAGCAGTCAAACAGATGAAAAATACTAAATTACCACTCTGAGTTAAAGAGGCAAAATGTACAGAAAATACAAGTTACAGTAGCTGTACTGTTCCCATGTCTACGTTTCTGCCAAGAGCTATTGCTTTCAAAAGAACGGATAAAAAGACAGCTGCAATTGACAAGAACCCACATAAATTCCAATGAGAATAGTTGTTATTTTTCAGCCATGAGTATATCAAAGTTCTACCAATTGATTTATGTGAATTATGTTTCAGTAAATGGAATAAAACTCAAATTATGGAAGCAAATACTTTTAAAATGTATTTTTGTTGTCTAGATACACAATATTACATCTTAACAATGTGACCTTATTTGTGCGAAAAACCATGTAAGCTTAAAAAGCTTGTTGAGCTATATTTGCTGACAGGTCATTTTTTAGAGCAAAGAACTTACGAAAGAATTACTTTAAAAGAGACTGATATTGATATGCTCGTTTCATCAACTTGAATGTTCATGCGTAGAGCATGCTCGAATCAGCTGAGAGATATAAACCGTATATGCAGGTGATAAGGGTATATTGCTTCATTAGTTGACGTTTAACGTAAAGCTTTTTTGTTACCTGTGGGTATTTCTGGTAAAACAAAAAACAAGTGTGAAACGGATGTGTTAGACGTTGGTATACCTATCAAGCTCACTTGGACTGTCGTGTCGACATATGAATGGAAATAACTCTATTGTGAATTGACAGAAAAATATATTAAGCCACTGGGATACTAGTATACAAGGTAATTTAACATTTGTGATTAAGCTTTGTTTTGGTTCTCGAACGAAAAAAAAATAAAGCCATTGTTATATTATGGACTTTTAATAAAGGAATGTAAACAAAAGCCATGGATATGAAAGAAAAAAATCTGTATTTTCCCGTGTCTTATTTAATTATTAGATAAATTGATATGCAATACATTCATTATTGAGAATGTAATCAATGTCAATAATATTGTATTGAAAAAAAAAACATTTTCCAATTTTTTTGTTCAATCTCTTACTATGAAAATTTTGTAAAATTTGAACTCTCTTGTAGAATACAGATTTTTTAAAAAAAAATTGCATAAATATTTCTTAATACATGTTTCATTTGCTTTACATGGTCTTAAGGTAAAATTGTCACATTGTTTTATGTTTGCGTGATAGTATTGATTTTATAGTGATTTTAATTTATTGTATTTTTCTTTCAGATGCCATTGAAAGTTATATATAATAACTTTCAATAATGAACTTGATTTAAAATAAAAATGTTTCATTTAAACATTAAACATGTAAATGAATTTGTAACAACTTCCTATACCTAAAGTCTAGAAAACTCTAGAGCCCTAAACTTAAAACTTAACTTTTAACCATGAATAAATACATAAGTGAAAATAGGCTTTGGTCAATATTTCCCGCCAAAACCTTTGATCCCCTTTTTCCTGTCTGTCCAGCTAATTACTAGCCCAGGAACAGTCACAGTGTTTAGTTGTGTTTATTAGTATTTGGAAAATTTTATGACCACTGAAGTAAGTTGACTTTTTGACATTTTTATTTCATATTAATACTTTCCTATTAATTACTGAATGAAAGAGGCATATAAAAGAATTTATTTAATTATTTAAGTTTGTCAAAAGCTGATGAACTAGTTGATTTTAAACTTTTTAATGAATGTATTATATGACACAAAATACATGTATATAGTGTATGAATATTATTTATGAATTATAGATAATCCATAAGACAATACTGTATAATAGACCTATACAATATAGATGAATTCATACCCATGTAGCTATTTGTATATCTATATTATTTTAAATAGTTATTATCCACTATTATGAAGTTAATGTGTAAAGAGAAATATCATTTGTATTTAAATTCAAGAGATATACATGTAACTCATTGACATGTGTCAAATCAATATTTATTATTTTATTACCTAATTAAATATATATAGTAATTATCTGATTTTATGATGACAGTAGATTCTGCTGTTATATGTGATTTGAAATTGAGTAAATGTATTTTATATTATTTTGCATAATCTACAATATGATGCTATATGATCATTTTATTCAACTATAATAAACATCATCCAGTGAATTAGAATATTGTCTGTATTACTGCTCCCGCTACATTTGTAATGTAATTTGTCTGTTATATATATATATATATTCACTGTATGTTGACAAATGATAAATAAAATATATATACATTTAATAAAACATCTTACTATAAAGCATTTCTGATTTGATATATATGTATTAAGAGTTGAAAATGTTAAAGTCTATTTCCAGAGTTTTTCCAAAAGTTTTCCACATTTAGTCTATTTTTAACTGTGATCCACTTGATGAATGCATGCGCGAAACTGATCTGATTGCCTATACTGTATGCTTTATATTAAGAAACAGTCAAATTCTTTTAACATTATATGTAAACAATCAGGCATAGCATGAGGATGTACATTGTTACATACGCGCTTATAATGAGCGTGATGAATCTACAGAGAGGAGCTAATTGCCAAGCTCTTTTTCCAAACGATGGCTGCAACGTAGAAGACACAGAGAGATTGCGAGAGGAAGTAACGAGACTAAGGACTGAAATAAATGACTTAAAAAGTTACCATCCTCTTGGTAAGTGTAACTTGTTTAACATGTTTAATAAGATATTTTTCTTCTGTTTACAGTTATTAATGTATCACATTGTTAGACAATGTGTTTTCACAAATATGTATTGTTTGTTCGTAAATAATAAATCTTCAACTTTTTTCATTACACATTATATAATAATACCCCCCGCTTGAAAAGCGGGACATCAGCATGTGTTTTTGCAAATATGTATTCTTTTTACTTTTTGATCGGACACATATTTTGTTTTTTCCAGAGCAAGACAATGCCATTTTTATCTATAACATTGAAGGGTACCCATCTCTTATCCGCAACTCCTCCTATACCACTCAATAATATTTCATGATACTTTCACAGATTCTTTATTACACAATACCATTGTGCACCCTCGATTTTACTTTTCAATCTGACAATTATTTTGGGTCTCCCAGAGCAAAACATGGACTTTGTCTTTATAATCATATGGGAGGCGGGGGGGGGGGGGGGAATGTATTTTTTAGTGGCCTCGTTGCTCACAGTACCTCCAGTTTTGTTTGCTTTTATTAACTTCAACGAATTTTCAAGTTATAAATAATAGTTGTCACCAAATTCATAATTCAAAATAATTTCTTTTATGTATTTTGAATTTAAATTCTTTTTCTCTAGGTAAAAACTATTCGACAAAGGTTGGCTTTACTGCGTATATTGGTAGTCAACCCAGCGTAAATGCAAATGACATTTTGGTTTATACAGATGTTAGAAGCAATATTGGAGGCTTATATGACAAGGATACAGGGGTATTCCAGAGCGACAGACCCGGAATGTTCGTTTTCTTTGTCTCACTCGAGTGCAAAGTTGAACGTGTAGATATTAGTCTCATTATTGACGACAGAAGAGTTGGAGAAACAGCCTGTTTTAGTGATAATGTGTTTAACATTGTATCGTTTTCAGTCGTTTATAACTTGTTGAGTGGATCAAAAGTCTGGATAAAAGTAACACTTGCATCTAATGCTTATGTGTACCGAAAAACAAGTTTTGGAGGTTATTCAGTGTAAATCCCTCGGGTTAAATCTTTTTGATTTTGGATTTTTATGCGTCCGAATCGATAGATTCGTTTTTGTCCTGTCTGTTTGTTTATTTGTCTGTCTCTCTGTCTGTTGTCAACTTTATTCTTCGCCATAACTTTTGAACAGTGAGAGATAGAGACTTCATATTTGATATGCATACTCCACTAATTAAGCACTTTCAACACCAAGGTCAATGACCTTGTGACCTTGACTGTGACCTATATGCTAAACATATAGCTTTTTCGAACTTTTGCCATTTACTAACTTTTGAACCATATTAGATAGAAACTTTATAGTTGGCATGCAAACTTCGATAATTAAGGTCTTTCAAATAACGCCAAGGACAATTTTCTTGTGACCTTCACTAATTAAGTTATTTCAAATGCCAACAAGGTCAATGACCTTGTGACTTGACTGTAGCATTTATGCTTAAAATAGTTTTTTTCGAATTTTCGTCATAACTTTTGAACCATAGGGGATAGAGGCTTCATATTTGGTATCCATTGTTGCAACCACTATTGAAATAACGACCACTTTTGAAATAATTATTTCAATAGATGTTGAGAGTGCATTTCAATAACAAACATAGTATGCAACCACTATTGAAATACGACCACTATTGAAATAATTATTTCAATAGTGGTTGAGAGTGCATTCCACTAACAAACATAGTATGCAACCACTATTGAAATAATTATTTCAAAAGTGGTTGAGAGTCCATGTCAATAACAAATATAGTATGCAACTACTATTGAAATACGACCACTACTGAAATTATTATTTCAATAGTGGTTGACACGCAGTACAGTTAAGGTGCGCAATGGAAATATCAAATAAATTTTGTATTTAAAAATGTATTTATCGGGATGGCGATTATTTTTAGTACATTATATATATCGGATAATTGTAATTATGATTAATAACAACATATCGAGGACGATTATATTTTATATTTAGACTAGTCACGTGATGCTGAAGTCACGCGATTTCAGCACATTGACTTGAAGTATTGATGTTACATATAAATATCACTAGTGCAAGGGCATAACCATGTTAAATTTCCAAGTTTAGTATATAAATATTTTTAGCACGCATTGTAGTTTCAAAAATGTGCTGCGATCCTGTCTAAATTCTGCAATTTCATTGATAAAGTTATACTTGTATGACTGAATGCTATATTTTTTGCTGGAAAGCGGCATGAAATATTGATATAATTAAATTGATTTTAAGATGCATTTACCTTATAGTTCCAAGTTGAAATGTAAAAGCTTACTTTGATCTATAGTGTATGCCCTTGCACTATTGATCGATTTATTAAGACTACCCTACTTGCATACAAATATACGGCAGTGTCAATTAAATACGTGAAGAAAATGCATAATAAAATAGTCATTAAATTCAAGTTATTGGCCCATAGAATATCTGTAAATAATATTTTATTTAATTGGAGAATACACATTTTGTTGCTTGATTGTCTCTCACTGCATACAAACTACGTCACGTTGTAAGAAATGACGTCATATTGACAAGTGTATTGCGATCAGTGACTTGTTTTAACTTGTTATGTGGGATTTAACTGTTCGACAAAACAAAACAATGTAGAAAGTTTTTATGTAGTTTGATGATTTCTTCCTGGTTATATTAGCAGATAAACTCATTTTGTGGTATTTTAAAGAAATGTTCTATGACGTATATTGTGTATGATGTCAAAGTTTCCCCGCACAAATTAGGCTCCGCCTCCTTTTTGTTACCTTAACCAGTGACGTATAAAACGTCACTGTATTAACTTGCTGCGGAGTGCATTTCAATACCAAAACATAGGTTGCAACAACTGTTGAAATAATATTCACTTTTGAAATAAATATTTGAATAGCGATTAACGTATAGATTTCAGAAATGATTGAAATATTGATTTCAATGGGGCTTTAAATAATGATTCCAGTAGATAAAAAAAATAATTAATAGTCGCTGACAATAATTTAAATACCAAAACCACATTGCAAGCTCTATAGAAGTATCCCAAATATTAAAACAAATATAAGGATGAATAACACATTCTGTATTCTAACACAATATTTAAACTAATTTAAATTTAATCTAATTAAAGTTTATAATTGGATAACTAAAGTTGTTTTGTTTTCCTTCTTTGTAAAAAATTTCAATTAAATTAATACACGGACCCTTTTTTATAATGCTGACTTACCTATAATCAAAACATGTATGCAAATGTTATAAGAAAACTCCCACTGAATCTGTCCGAATCGACTAAAACCAACAGACAATTGCAATTTATTAACATATGCAATTTTGAAATAATTTGTTATATAAAGTTCATTTTTGTCATTGATTTTGAAAGGAAAGGATCATAAATACATGTAGATGTAGAAATTAGAATATGTAGACTACACTGAAATGAAAGAAGAAGACTGTTAATGTTGTGTACAAACTTTCTGATGAAAATATGGATATTTTTAATTTTAAAAAATTAGAAGAACTAAACTGTCGCTCATATCCATGGGATTACCTACACTACAAATACGGATAAAAAACCAATGTCGACTCGTCAAGATATTAAAAAGCAAAATTTCTCGGGAAGTTTGTATTAGGTTTATTAAAATGGTGGGTGTTATTTCAATATAGTGATTAAAATGTGGTGGTACAGTGTTTTGAAACGTATTATCAACTTCTTTTAAAAGAATCATTTCACAAGTAGTCAAAAATTTAATAGTAAACCCAATAAAGGAATTAAAAATGTTGGAGTGCATAAGGAAACATTAAGCTTTGTATTTTTAATAGTTAAGTTATTTCTATAAGTCTTGCAATGTGGCTTTAGTATTAATCATCAGCAACTATCAAAATAATTATTTAAATCACGTTTGAGGTCATTATTTAAATACTATTGATAACATTATTTCAAATTTGAACATTATATTTTAACAGTAGTTGCAACAATGCATACTCCAATAATGAAGTGCTTTCAACTATAACTGTTACAAATATGCGAAAAATAGCTTTTTCGAACTTTGTTGCCGTCGGGCGCATTAGTATTTCACAAACACATCTTGTTAAACCTATGACGGTTACGGTTTCTTTTTCTCTAAAAGATTAATTCTCTTTGTATAAATGTTTTCTTTTTTCAATATAAGTAACTATAAATATTCCTTGGAAACTTAATTTATCAATTTCATCAAGACAAATTATCACAATACTTAAGGTAGTCCGATCCTCAGGTATATAAAATTAGCAGTTAAGTAATCAAAAATACTCATAACAGTATTTCTGAATCCATAAATTTAAGTAAATTTATCCACAATATTTCTTTAAACTTTTAGGTTAAAGTTCATCATATTATATAGTGAAAATTGTCATATCTCCAATAGTTTTGCAGAAAAGGCAAATTGGAATATCAGCAATGCATTTTCTAATTGCAAACTGATCAGCAAATATATTTTAGGTTAAAAAACGATAGGTATCCAGGCATTCAGGGAAATTGTCATGATTTTCATACTTATTTCTTATTTTTTATCCTCTATTTCCGTCATGTATTTTATAATACATAGTGTAAAAGGCTTTTGTTATCATTGCAAGACACCACAGATCACTCCTCATTTCATATCATGTTAATAATCATTGGTATCTAAGGCTGGATTCAAGAAAATCTTATTTTTCTAAAACTGTATTAATTTTTTCTCCTTTTAAAGGGTACAAATGTCAGCTTTTATAAGACCTTTTCTAAGACTTCCAAAGACCTTGAATCTTAATATAAAGATGAATAAAATGAAAATTGTTGCATGAACCAATTTCATTTTCAAGCTTCCTTTTGATGTATTTCTAATTAAATTTTAATTTTTGGAGTTATCCTTCCTGGCTGAGGATCGGATATCCTTAAATAAATTTTATCTTAATAAAGTGACATTTTTCTGTTCTTTTAAGCATATATTTTTTTTTAGGTTTATTTGATGTAAATAACGATACCGGTACTTATCCTGTATGTACACCAAGATACTTCTCTCTGTATGTATATCATGACATTTATATCTGTATGGACCGTTACAGAATTCGTAAATATTCAATATTTATCTCTCTGATTTAAAACCAAAATATCCCAACTGAATTATTTATACTTTTGTCTCGAAGAAAAGACATATGCGAATTAAGAACATGTAAAGATTTTTTTTATACCTTTTTCTCAATGATAATTTTCGCGTTAAATGCCGTATAAATTATCATAACTTTGGCAGTGATAAATCCCAATGAGCATCAGCAATTCATGCATGAAATTAATTTAATGTTTTAATTCGTAATTTCGGTATATATATATATATATATTTGTATTTTGTGTGGTTTTTTTTTAAGTATTTGTAATTTTAATAAATATTAATAAAAAGTATGATATTTATATTTATATATTTTAAAACAACCTCTATTGCATGCATATGGGTGTAGTAATAATATTGTCAGGTTGTCTGTCTGGTATGTACAAGGTTTCCGATTTTTTTTTACTCCGGTATAGAACTTTTATAAATTAAAATAGAATGTTTTAGATATACGCAAATTATTTTAAAGGACATATTAAGTACTACTTCATGTAAGTAGAGGCTTGAAGAAGTAGACTGTAGGTATACCTAGTGTATAGAAGTTTGTTTAACTATCTATCTGGTTGTTAAATATCTATAAACAATCACATATCTGTTAAAAAACTACTGACTTTCGGATTACGCACAGGAAGCGAAAGGAAATTTTGTTCCCCGGATTTCTTACATAATTAGATAATACTCAGAGGATAAGATGTAGATGACTGGTAACTTGATACAACTTGTTATTCATGTTTAAGTGTTTCCTGCTGACATATAATATATGTATAACACTTTTCAAAACATACTTAAACGTATTTGCTTTGTTTCTTTTCATATTGTTTCTTTTTCTTTTTTTGTAGATATAATTTAAGTTTTGTATAACATCGTATAAATTTCAATGAAATAATTAAAGTTTTTAATATAGCCTGATCCTTAAATTGATGCCTTGTAGTTATTTTAATTTATAACCTCATTCCCAATGTGAAAAAATTGTGTTTCCAACATATTTTTCAGAACCATAAACTCAATTCGAACAATTATTACAATAGCAAACTTGGGACAATCAATAGATTGACGTGAAGGAAAAGTCATTGTTAAAAAAGAGAATACTTACACATGTAGCAAAGATGACCAAAGTATAAAACCATGTAAAATTTCACCCATTAACTACTAGAGCTGGACTAAAAAAGTTGAAATTCCAGTCAATATGGATGAATTTCCATGTAATGCGATCAAATTTTAAAATCTTTGGTAAAAGTAGTTATAAACTTAGTGGAGGGTGTAA